CGGATCCATATCCGTCGGAAATTTTCCGTCGGAAATTTACATTTTTCTTGTAGTTATTATGTTTTCATTAACAAAGACACTTTAGATTTTGTAAGACAATATTTAACTATAACATAATTATGCTTTTGAATCATTTTTTGTTAAGGAATTCTATCTTAGACGAGCTATATGAATATTTCTATGTATAATCTTCGATTTGTAGGTATCATCAATGATTATGGATGAGAATTAGTAAAGTTAATACAAACTTAAAATATACAAGTCAAACATATTTTATAAAATTTAAATTTGTCTAATCTATTATTTATTACATTTTTTATAGGTTTAACCTGATATTTTTAAAAGTTTAGTATAATTTATTGATTTATTTAAAAGTCAATTTTACATTAATAAGTTTAAATAGACCAATAAACATAATTTTAAATAAGTCAAAAATCTATTTTTAAATACACTTATGAGTTTATTTTTTAATTTGCATGATAAAAAATGATTTAATCTATTATTATTGAATTTTAGATTTTAAAACGAAAATATAAAATTAATGTAAAAAATTTCGAAACCAACATAATTAAAAAAATATTGAATAATTTCATATTATAAGACTATAACAATGAACACCTATACAAGTGACAAATTCAATATTTTACTATTATTTTTATCTATATTACATTTGGCATATTTTAAATGGTGATACAAACTCAAGATTCATTGACCATCAAAATTCATTGGTTACTAGGACAACATAACGGTTGATGTATGCTGCTGAATCTCAATAGGTAAAATATGTCATCTAAAGCTCAAGATTCATTAGATATATCATTCCTATTGTTGTCTTAGTAACGAGATTCATTGACTATTTTGGTGTTGATGTATTTGATAAGGTGATGCTTCACTAGGGCTTTCCATGAGATAAGAGAGGCAAGTTTAAAGAAGTTGAAGATGGCGAAGACCCTTCAAGGCTGGGTCTTGAATGAAGAGGCCCAAGAAGAAAAAGATGTGGTAAAACAATATGATGAATGTGGTCTTGAATAAGATGACTTTTTCTAAAAGAAAAAGATATGAGATGCATGTTTCTTACTGATTTTATTCTTTCATATTAGGTTTTTTCTCTCATGATAATATATTTTGTACCGGAAGGATCCTATCGGCCACGTGGATCGGCCACGTGGACTAGCACGTCATGTCCTATCAGATATTGACGCAGCTCAGATATTGCTTCGGTTCGACAAGGGACCGAGAACCGTACCCTTTACCTATCGGCTCGGCCGAAAGCCGAAGATGACGTCTCGACCGTTCCATATCGGCTCGGCCAAAGGTCAACAGAGAGAATAATCAGCATGACGATCATGATTAACAAAGGACAACATGCAATTAAGGCATAACCAGCCGATTACCATCGTATTACCTAATTTGGTAAGTGTCAGAGAAGGCCCACCATGCTCAGGCCCATGACAGGTAGTATAAATAAGTCACACGTAACGACGTATGTCACTGTTCATTTATTACCATAGAGAATCGTGCTTGTCCTGACTTGAGCGTCGGAGTGCCTTTTGTAGGTACCTCCCCCCTCTGGAGCATCCACCTGAAGCTCTCGTTCGGCCCTCCACCTACCAGAAGATTACGAGTGTGCCCTCAGACAGGTACATTTTGGCGCCCACCGTGGGGCCGAACCGATAGCTTTGAAACGACAAACTGAGTATTACTTCGAAGAGACCAAGTATCATGGCGAAGACGAGAAGAACACACACCGAAGACCACTGATCTGAAGATGAGCACCAATCCGAAGCAGACAATGCCGAGACGGTTGACGAGACCAACATGGCCGAGATGGAACGCCAACTGAAGGAGGAAATGGACGCCCACTACTAGAAAATTGCAAAATAGCGACCGAAATTAGCGACCAAAATTTATCAGTCGCTATTTAGCGACTGATTTAGCGACCGATTATGAAAAATCAAAATAGCGACCGATTTAGCGACCAAAATAAGTCGTCACTAGAAAATCGGTCGCTATTTCGGTCGCTAAATAAGAAATTTTGATATTTTAGCGACGGAATTAAATTCGGTCGCTAAATTATAAATTTTGATTTTGTTTAGCGACGGAACTAATTCGGTCTCTATTTCAGTCGCTAAAATATAAATTTTGATTTTTTTTAGCGACAGAATTCAATTCGGTCGCTAAATAATAGTTAAAATTAGCGATGGAGTTGAATTCGGTCGCTAAATAGTAGTCAAATTTAGCGACAGAATTGAATTTGGTCGCTATTTCGGTCGCTAAATTATAAATTTTGATTTTTTTGGCGACGAAATTGAATTCGGTCGCTAAATAGTAGTTAAATTTAGCGACGCAATTCAATTCGGTCGCTATTTCGGTAGCTAAATTATAAATTGATTTTTTTAGCGACGAAATTCAGTTCGGTCGCTAAATAATAGTTAAATTTAGCGACGAAATTGAATTTGGTCGCTAAATAGTAGTTAAATTTAGCGACGAAATTGAATTCGGTGGCTATTTCGGTCGCTAAATTATAAATTTTGATTTTTTTAGCGATGGAATTTAATTCGGTCGCTAAATAATAGTTAAAATTAGCGACGGAATTTAATTCGGTCGCTAAATAGTAGTTAAATTTAGCGACGGAATTTAGTTCGGTCGCTAAATTAGAAGTTTTGATTTTTTTAGCGATCAAATTAAATTTGGTCGCTAAATATTAGTTAAATTAGGGACGAAATTGAATTCGGTTGCGAAATAGTAGTTAAATTTAGCGACGGAATTTAATTCGGTCGCTAAATCAGAAATTTTGATTTTTTTAGTGACGAAATTAAATTCGATCGCTAAATATTAGTTAAAATTAGTGATGGAATTGAATTTGGTCTCTAAATAAAAAAATTTGATTTTTTTAGCGACAAAATTAAATTCGATCACTAAATATTAGTTACAATTAGCGATGTAATTCTATTCAGTTGCTAAATATTAGTTAAAATTAGCAACGAAATTCTATTGGGTCACTAACTAAAACTTAAAAAATTTTATAAATTGCTTAAAAGTGATGATAATATTTTTGTTGAGTATCAATCCCATTTTTTTTTTTGTAAGACCAAGACATTAATTTATATTAAAAAAATATTTATATGCACTCCTACATAATTAATACCAATACTTATTTATGTGAAAAAATATTTAGAGGTTTTTTTTACGATTAGATTTTTAGGCAGTTTTTTAATTAGAGTATATGAATTTCAAAATTTCTTATTTATTTTGATCCATATTTATAATATATATTTCTAACTTATGATAACTTTATTTTTAAATGAATTTTTATATTTAAA